GTTCGCATTTGTGTTCCTCACGTGTGCCCCAAAGAATGAGGTGATTTGGTAAAATGCTATGCCCAAGATAACTATCCGAGTGCCGGCGGTGGGGTGGTTCATATAGCCTCGGCTATCACCTCATTATGTCCGGTCGTGATGGTCAAGTGGATTAAGGCGTCTTGTACATACCAGTTGCGTTGCTTCTGGGAGTATGGGTTCGAGTCACTTCTGGGGTGTGAGTTTTCAGTTGCATATGTCCTGGGGACCATTCAGGCTTGTTCGCATTTGTGTTCCTCACGTGTGCCCCAAAGAATGAGGTGATTTGGTAAAATGCTATGCCCAAGATAACTATCCGAGTGCCGGCGGTGGGGTGGTTCATATAGCCTCGGCTATCACCTCATTATGTCCGGTCGTGATGGTCAAGTGGATTAAGGCGTCTTGTACATACCAGTTGCGTTGCTTCTGGGAGTATGGGTTCGAGTCACTTCTGGGGTGTGAGTTTTCAGTTATATACATATATATATATATATATATATATATATATATATATATATATATATATATATATATATATATAGTCAATCATATCCTCAGAAATGAGGATATGATATAAAATTTATAATGAAGTTTCTTCAACTTTCTTTTGTGTCATAAATCAGATGCCATTGTTAAGTTTACTGTGCTATTTTTATTTTTACAGTTGATGTCATCAAGAGTTCCGTTAATGTTCTAGCAACCACACTGAGGCCAGTGATGCCTGACTACTATCACTAAGATGTTAGCCTTCTTGATTCAGTACTTGTAAATATCTTGGAAATATATTGTACTGAATTTTATTTCTCCATTATCTAATCTTAAACTTACTTTGTAGTTGTTTGGTCAGGATCTTTTTTCCATTAAAGCAGATAATTGTATTTTTTTCAAGCACATGCTATTAATATATGATGTTAATAATTTTTGTGTTAAGCAGTTCTTGAGTTGCATTGTTTATATCATATACTGAGACATGTTCCTGTTCAGATTACCATTTTTGTTACCGATTAGATTAGATTTTTATTACCACGATTTTCTACTGAGTAATTATATTCTTATTTTTGTGCACATGCCGAGAGGTGTTAGTATTTCCGCACACCTGATCTACCTTTTAATATTTAACATGATATTTTACTTGTAAGCTATTATTGCATGCCACCGAGGTCCTTTCAGTATCAGTATAACTATCTTTCTATCCAGAGCCTGTCGACAAGGGCCGTCGACTTGGTAGCATGTCCGAGCGGTGTTAGCACTCAAATTGTATGACGGTTGGGTTATAGCCAATCACAGGCGAGTAGGCCTCTGACGTCAGTCCGCACAGAGACGGCACTGGCCGTTCTTGAGGGAGGCCTCCGTATCTCACGAGACCAGAGTTACTTAGGACCTTCGCCAGCCGCATCTATAACTTGTTGTCTTTACCCAATAAACTACTGAAGTGAACTACTGTGTATTCTCTATAACCAAGCAAGCACCGTACGTCTAAGGCAACGAATACTAATAATAGGATGGGAATGAATGATCACAGTGTATTGACATTCGAGTATCTGCTAGAGGTAGGGATAACCTATCCAAGGATGGGATTGAATGGGAGAAGTTTCAATTACAGAAGAGAAAAATATGACCATGACCAGATGTGGAACTTCTTAAGGGGAATACCATGGGAATCAGAACTCAGAGAGAAGACTGTACAGGATATGAGTGACTATGTCACCCAGAAGTGCAAGTAAGCTGCAGACAAATTTATCCCGGCCAAAAAGGAGAAAAAGTAAATCAACAGAAGAATCCATGGTTTAATTAGGAATGCAAGGTAGCGAAGCAATTGAGTACAAGAACATGGAGAAACTCCAGGAATAACAGAACACCAGAGAGCAGAGGGAGATACCAGACAGCCAGAAATGAGTACCTCAGATTGAGGAGAGAAGCAGAGAGACAGTATGAATATGACATCGCAAGTAAAGCTACTAAGTCCCAAGCAAAACTGCTCCACAATCACATCGAGAGGAAAACAGCAGTGAAGGAACAAGTGATGAAACTGAGAAAAGGGGAGAACGGATACACAGAGAATGACAAGGAGGTGTATGAAGAACTCTACAAGAGATTCCAGGAGGTCTTCGGAATAGAACAAGGAGAAGCCCCTGCACTAAATGAGGGTGAGGCAATCCAAGCAACCTTGGAGGAATTTTACCTCACCAGTGATGAGGTTAAAAGGAATCTGTTGGAATTGAATGTGACAAAGGCTGTCAGGCCTGACAGAATCTTACCATGAATACCAAAATAATGTGCAGAAGTGTGTGCCACTCTCCATGGTGTATAACAGGTCACTGGAAACAGGAGACCTACTGGAAAGCTGGAAGACAGCTAATGTAGTCCCATTATACAAAAAGGGTGACAGGCAAGAGGCACTGAACTACAGGTAAGTTTCCCTAACTTGTATACCATGCAAGATGATGGTGAAAATCGTGAGGAAAAGTTTCGTAGAGCATCTGGAGGGCAATAGCTTTGTAACATACCACACAACACCACCACGATATACCATCAGAGATGGTAAATCGTACCTCGCAGGTTTAATAGAATTCTATGATCAAGCAACAAAAATTAGGTAAGCAAGCCTTTGACACAGTACCCCATAAAAGGCTGTTACAAAAGTTGGAGCAACAGTCAGGAATAAAAGGTAAGGTGCTCCAGTGGAAACGGGAGTACCTAAGCAACAGGAAACAGCGAGTAACTCTGAGGGGGGGAGACATCAGAGAAGCGAGATGTCACCAGCGGATTCCCACAGAGCTGTGTACTTGGATCTATCCTGTTTCTAATATATTTAAACGATCTTCCAGAGGGTATAGACTCATTCCTCTAAATTTTTGCTGACGATGCAAAAATTATGTGAAGAATCAAGACAGATGAAGATAGACGGAGCTAAAGGACGACCTGAACAAACTGGAGGAATGGTCTAAAAATGGCTTCTAAAGTACAACTCAGAAAAATGTAAATGAAATTAGTCGAAGGGAGCAGAAGGCTGAACACACAGTACCATCTGGGAGGTGAAATCCTGGAAGAGTCAAATAGAGATAAATATCTGGGGTGATATCACACCGAACCTGGCCCCAGAGACCCACATGAAAAGGCTATCATCAGCGGGATATGCTAAATTGGTCAAAATAAGAACTGGCTTTAGCAACTTATGTAAGGAGTCATTCGGGACCTTGTATACCACTTATGTCAGATCAATCCTGGAATATGCAGCTCCAGTCTGGAGGCTATACCAAGTTAAACACAAGACAAAGTTAGAGTAGATTCAGAGATATGCCAACAGACTAGTCCCGGAACTGACAGGTATGAGCTACGAGGAAAGGCTAAGGGAACTACACCTCACGTCCCTGGAAAACTGAGGAGTAAGGGAAGACATGATAACCACCTACAAAATTTTCAGGGGAATTGACAGGGTGAACAAAGAGAAACACTTTAGCACAGGTGGAATACGAACAAGGGGACACAGGTGCAAACTTAGTACCCAAATGAGCCACAGAGACTTTAACAATAATTTTTTCAGTGTCAGAGTAGTTAAGAAATTGAATGCATTAAGCAGTGATGTGGTGGAGGCAAATTCCATACACAGTTTCAAATGAAGATTTGACTGAGCCCAGTAGGCTCAAGAATCTCTACACCAGTTGACCGACGGCTGAAAGGCGGGACCAAAGAGCCAAAGCTCAACCCCCGCAAGCCACAACTAGGTGAGTACAAGAATTATCTATACTACTGGGCAGATTTACTGATATTTCTTACTAGCAGACAGGAAACGATACTTCCGAAGTAGCGAGATCGTGGATTAGGTGGGCTTCTATGTATCCTGTGCCATGAATCACGGGAAATATCTGGTATGTTCACATGTGAATTCTTAAGTAAACCTAGTACGTGTTGACGTATCAAGTGCCATGCACACAATATGCAGGTCCACTTCCTCCTCGGCTTGGGACGCCCCGACCAGCACAGATAAATTTTCGATATTGTGGACTTAGAGGAGGAAGCTTGGATTTATGTATCAGTTAATTACGATTAGTCACACAGAACACTTTTTTGTGAATATAAACTTTAGACTGAAAGTTTTAGTTATTCACAGAAGTAAATATCCCTCATAAATCGTAAATATGCTTATGTGGCAACATCCCATTCTCCCTAATATGTTGTTAAATTTGTTTTCTGTGAAAGGTTAGTAAATTAGTAATGTTAGTATACTCCTAACACAACCATTTTAACTCATTATGCCAGGGGATGGTAAATAAGTGTAGAAATTCCTGACATCTTTACTGGAGCATAAACAAGTCAGCTTATACAGTTAAGCCTCTTTCGTTAATATTATTTTTGATTTTATTTTAAATAAATTTTAGATTAAAATAATTATGAGTATATAGATGGTTAGGATACAAAGTTTCTAAACAAGTATTTTAGTCCTCCGTGAATCGGAGAGGGAAATATTGTGATACAAAAATGTGTTTACTTGTAGCCTTACCAACTAATACAATTTAGTTACCAGAGGTAAAATGTGTTACTTCTGGGAACTCTGTTACTTCCCGTACCTTACATTGAAAGAGCTGCTGGCATAATCTTTGCTGACTTGACACCATCCAGATGGACGACCTGGCACCACCTGTCTGGTTGACCTAACATGACTTTGATAATTGACCATGTACGACCTCGATGATTGACCAGGCACGAACGTGATGGCTGACCTGGCATGACGATGATTGTTGGCCTAGCACGACCTTGGTAGATAACATGGATAGATGACTTGGCATGACCTAAATTATCGACCTGGCACGACCTGTACTGTCGACCTGACATGACTGGATTGTCGACCTGAATGGTTCATCTCACTCAACTTGAATGGTTGACCTGGCCCGACCTGGATAGTTAACCAGGTACAACCTGGATAATTAACTTGGCTCGACCTGGAAAGTTAACCTGGCATAGTTTGGATGATATAATATTACCTGTCAGGTTTGATGAAGTAGACGCCATCCATCCTCGCTCCCCGGCAGTACAGTTCAGAACAGTCCTTGGCCGTTGTCACCCTGCCAATATTATAGTATTGTAATGTCAGTTTGAATAATCAATTGTTATCAATTGTTTCAATTTCAGAAAAAAATGCTCCAGTTATTTCACATTCAAATTACACCCCAAATATATGTGTATTTATGTATGTATGTATGTATATATATATATATATATATATATATATATATATATATATATATATATATGTTGTACCTAGTAGCCAGAACGTCGTACTCGGCCTACTATGCAAGGCCCGATTTTCCTAATAAGCCAAGTTTTCCTGAATTAATATATTTTCTCTAATTTTTTTCTTATGAAATGATAAAGCTTCCCATTTCATTAAGTATGAGGTCAATTTTTTTTTATTGGAGTTAAAATTAACGTAGATATATCACCGAACCTAACCAACCCTACCTAACCTAACCTAACCTATCTTTATAGGTTAGGTTAGGTTAGGTAGCCGAAAAAGTTAGGTTAGGTTAGGTTAGGTAGGTTAGGTAGTCGAAAAACCATTAATTCATGAAAACTTGGCTTATTATGCAAATCGGGCCTTGCATAGTTGGCTGAGAAGTGCATTCTGGCTACTAGGTACGACATATATATATATATATATATATATATATATATATATATATATATATATATATATATATATATATATATATTGAAGTTCCTGAAGGAATTGGGGGACAAATTGATCAGCGCTACAAAAGACCAGAGAGCAAAAAGTTTCTTGTTCCAGCGCCTCAGTGTTGCGATTCAGAGGGGAAATGCCTGTTGCGTCTTGGGCACTAGTCCAACTTCAGAGGAATTCGAAGAAGTTTTTGACTTGCAACAATGATCGAACCCGTCTGTGACATTCATCAATGTTTCCCATTGTTGTGTTTTTCAAGAGATCCAGAACCTTTAAGCACCTTTTTGCATTATTATTTTGTATCAACCCATGTATATCTTGTAACCATCAAATGCATAATAAAGCACAAAAAATAAAAAAGGAAGGGGGTGGTAGGAGAAAAGCACACAGAAACTGTATTGGAGGGGATCTAAACATTCCCTCTAATGCGTTATGCGTGGTTTCCTCCGAGGCTATGGGTCCCCCTTCTTCCAGCTAGAGGTGGTACTCTTTTTTGGACTAAAAAAAAAAAAAAATATATATATATATATATATATATATATATATATATATATATATATATATATATATATATATATATATATATATATATATATATATATATATGACAAACAACACAGAAATCGATGATTTCTGTGTTGTTTGCTAAGATTCTCTGGTGATGGTTGGTTTGTGGGAAGAGATTATATGTTCCTTAATGGAGCCCTGTTGCTTATGCATTGTTAAACGCCTGGAAAGAGATGTTGTTGTCTTGCCTATATACTGTTTTTTTGGAGCTTACAGTCCCCAATAGGGCATTTGAAGGCATAGACGACGTTGGTCTCTTTTAAAGCGTTCTGCTTTGTGTCTGAAGAGTTTCTCATGAGTAGGCTGGCCGTTTTTCTGGTTTTAAAGTAAATCGTCAGTTGTATCCTCTGATTTTTGTCTGTAGGGATAACGTTTCTACTGACAGTATCTTTCAGGACCCTTTCCTCCGTTTTATGAGCTGTGGAAAAGAAGTTCTTGTAAAACAGTCTAATAGGGGGTATAAGTGTTGTGTTAGTTGTCTCTTCAGAGGTTGCATGGCGTTTCACTTTCAAATAAAACCAGCATATAGGCAAGACAACAACATCTCTTTCCAGGCGTTTAACAATGCATAAGCAACAGGGCTCCATTAAGGAACATATAATCTCTTCCCATAAACAAACCATCACCAGAGAAATCTTAGCAAACAACACAGAAATCATCGATAGATACAGCGATAGCAGGCGGCTTGACGTCTGTGAGGCACTACATATCAAGAAGTCAACACCAGCAATCAACAGCCAATTAATGCACAACTATATTCTACCCACTTCAAGACTCCGCTCCAATATAGAAGCATCAAGAAATTTGGACCAATAGGCTTTCTACAATTACTTCCATTCAATACCCATTGTTTCGTGTTCTGTCTTGTGTTTGAATTTAATACCTATTCAATACCCATTGTTTCGTGTTCTGTCTTGTGTTGGAATTTAATACATATTGTTGAAAGTTCGTTTTTCACCTCATCCACCTCACCCAAATGTAGATATAAACCTCGAAGATGTGTAAAGCTCTATTCAGTTACAGTTGTGTGTTTGTAAACTAAAGTCTTTGAAAATGTAATAAGTTTTACGAAACGCGCTCAAGTGTCGCGTCAGACTAGAAATAAAAATGAATTTTGGAGAATTGATCTTTGAATTACTATCAACAGTGTAAAGAAACATAAGAAAGATAGAGAAAATTCGTGTTAGAATTATTAATCTTACTTTTTCGGTCATATTTAATAATATATAAATATATATATATATATATATATATATATATATATATATATATATATATATATATATATATATATATATATATATATATATATATATATATATATATATATATGTCGTACCTAGTAGCCAGAACGCACTTCTCCGCTTACTTAGCAAGGCCCGATTTGCCTAATAAGACAAGTTTTCCTGAATTAATATATTTTCTCTAATTTTTTTCTTTTGAAATGATAAAGCTACCCATTTCATTATGTATTTGGTCAATTTCTTTTTATTGGAGTTAAAATTAACGTAGATATATGACCGAACCTAACCAACCCTACCTAACCTAACCTAACCTATCTTTATAGGTTAGGTTAGGTTAGGTTTCCGAAAAAGTTAGGTTAGGTTAGGTTAGGTAGGTTAGGTAGACGAAAAACAATTAATTCATGTAAACTTGGCTTATTATATATATATATATATATATATATATATATATATATATATATATATATATATATATATATATATATATATATATATATATATATGTCGTACCTAGTAGCCAGAACTCACTTCTCAGCCTACTATTCAAGGCCCGATTTGCCTAATAAGCCAAGTTTTCCTGAATTAATATATTTACTATAATTTTCTTCTTATGAAATGATAAAGCAACCCTTTTCTCTATGTATGAGGTCAATTTTTTTTTATTGGAGTTAAAATTAACGTAGATATATGACCGAACCTAACCAACCCTACCTAACCTAACCTAACCTATATTTATAGGTAAGGTTAGGTTAGGTAGCCAAAAAAAGCTAGGTTAGGTTAGGTTAGGTAGGTTAAGTAGACGAAAAAACATTAATTCATGAAAACTTGGCTTATTAGGCAAATCGGGCCTTGAATAGTAGGCTGAGAAGTGCGTTCTGGCTATTAGGTACGACATATATATATATATATATATATATATATATATATATATATATATATATATATATATATATATATGTCGTACCTAGTAGCCAGAACGCACTTCTCAGCCTACTATGCAAGGCCCGATTTGCCTAATAAGGCAAGTTTTCATGAATTAATTGTTTTTCGACTACCTAACCTACCTAACCTAACCTAACCTAACTTTTTCGGCTACCTAACCAAACCTAACCTATAAAGATAGGTTAGGTTAGGTTAGGTAGGGTTGGTTAGGTTCGGTCATATAACTACGTTAATTTTAACTCGAATAAAAAAAAATTGACCTCATACATAATGAAATAGGTAGCTTTATCATTTCATAAGAAAAAAAATTGAAAAATATATTAATTCAGGAAAACTTGGCTTATTAGGCAAATCGGGCCTTGCATAGTAGGCCAAAAAGTGAGTTCTGGCTACTAGGTACGACATATATATATATATATATATATATATATATATATATATATATATATATATATGTCGTACCTAGTAGCCAGAACTCACTTCTCAGCCTACTATTCAAGGCCCGATTTGCCTAATAAGCCAAGTTTTCCTGAATTAATATATTTACTATAATTTTTTTCTTATGAAATGATAAAGCAACCCTTTTCTCTATGTATGAGGTAAATTTTTTTTTATTGGAGTTAAAATTAAAGTAGATATATGACCGAACCTAACCAACCCTACCTAACCTAACCTAACCTATATTTATAGGTAAGGTTAGGTTAGGTAGCCAAAAAAAGCTAGGTTAGGTTAGGTTAGGTAGGTTAGGTAGACGAAAAAAACATTAATTCATGAAAACTTGGCTTATTAGGCAAATCGGGCCTTGAATAGTAGGCTGAGAAGTGCGTTCTGGCTATTAGGTACGACATATATATATATATATATATATATATATATATATATATATATATATATATATATATATATATATATATATATATATATATGTATATATATATATAATATATATATTATATATAAAAAAATTGACCTCATACATAATGAAATGGGTAGCTTTATCATTTCACAAGAAAAAAATTAGAGAAAATATATATCTCTAATTTTTTTCTTATGAAATGATAAAGCTACCCATTTCATTATGTATGAGGTCAATTTTTTTATTGGAGTTAAAATTAACATAGATATATGACCAAACCTAACCAACCCTACCTAACCTTACCTAACCAACCCTACCTAACCTAACCTAACCTATCTTAATAGTTTAGGTGGCCGAAAAAGTTAGGTTAGGTTAGGTTAGGTAGTCGAAAAACAATTATTTCATGAAAACTTGGCTTATTAGGCAAATCGGGCCTTGCATAGTAGGCTGAGAAGTGCGTTCTGGCTACTAGGTACGACATATATATATATATATATATATATATATATATATATATATATATATATATATATATATATATATATATATATATATATATATATATATATATATATATATATATATATATTTTCGTCAATTTTCGTTCCGTCAATTTTTAAAAATTACCATTATCTGAGAATATTGTTATAGAAGTTTTGTGAAGGAAAACAAACATCTTACCCATAACTTTTAGTTTGTATATCCATTTACAGCAATTTCACCTGTAAAAAGACCGAAAGTTATTCAGAGACCATTTGAAGACCGATTTTCATC